CTGCACCTCTGAATGTTCACAGGTATGGGCACATGCAGCTCCTGTTCACTGCAGATTGTTGTTCCTGGCCAATGGGATCTATGGGAAGCAATATCCTGATCCATGCCACTTCCCGCAGCTCCCATTGGCTGGGAAAGGTATCTGCAGCCAATGGGAGCTGCTAGCATCCGTACCTGTGAAGGCACAGGTAAACATAGTGGCGGAAGGGGCTAACCCTTGTGAACCATTGTCACTTGTGCACTAAACTGATCCAATTAATTTAAAAATAATGTAGGATTGCCAGGTATCCGGTTTTGAACCAGACAGTCCGGTATTTGAGCTTTCTGTCTGGGAAACAAATTGAGAAAATACTGGACATATAAATGTCCGGTATTTTCTAATTAGGTACGTTTTATTATCATCATGAGTATCAGAACGTAGTTGTGTACTGCCTGGCTGGTAGACATGCTCACACTGTGAGGCCAGGCAGTACACAACTACACAGTAGAGAGGAGGGGGGCGGGGCCGGGATGGAATCCCTGGGGCCGGACTCGCCTGTGCACCCCGCCGGGACCGTGCGCGGGACAGGCAGTACCCTGGGTTCTTGTGCGCCCGGGCCAGCCCTGCTCCCCACTGGCCAGTTCCTCCCTGCTGCCCCCCCATCAGCCCTTCTCTCCTCCACCCCCTTCCAGCCAGCCCCACTCCTTAAGTCTCGGCTTGACAAAGCCCTGGCCGGGTTGATTTAGATGGGATTGGTCCTGCCTAGAGCGGAGGGCTGGACTTGACGACCTTCTGAGGTCTCTTCCAGTTCTGATTCTATGATAAGGGGATGGTTGGATGAAATAACATGATCTTGGTAACTAATTGACCATTCATTTCCAGTTGGAAATAGGTCAATGGAGGGATGATAGGAGTTGCTATAGGGAACTTTCTGGGTGTCTGGCTGGTGAGTCTTGCCCACATGCTCAGGTGAGATCAAGTGTGTCCAGTATTTTTTTGAAAGGAATTTTCCTCCAGGGTAGATTGGCAGAGACCCTGGAGGTTTTTCGCCTTCCTCTGTAGCATGGGGTACAGATCACAGCTGGAGGATTCTCTGCATCTTGGGGTCTTCAAAGTATTTGAAGGCTTCGATATCTGAGGTATAGGTGAGAGGATTATTATAGGAGGGGGGGGTGAGATTCTGTGGCCTGTACTGTGCAGGGGGTCAGACTAGATGATCATAATGGTTCCTTCTGACCTTAAAGTCTATGAGTCTATGAAATCATCTGGGCTGTGTCCAGACTCAGGGGTTTTTTCGAAAAAAGTAGCCTTTTTTCGAAAAAACTTCCCCTGCGTCCAGACTCAAGCCGCGTTCTTTCGAAATTAATTCGAAAGAACGCGGCTTTTCTTTCGATGGTAAACCTCAATTTACGAGGAAGAACGCCTTCTTTCGAAAGTTCCTCTTTCGAAAGAAGGCGTTCTTCAATGTAAATAGGGCTTCTTCGAAAGAGAGCATCCAGACTCACTGGATGCTTTCTTTCGAAAAAGCAAGCCACTTTTTCGAAATTTCTCCATGCAGTCTAGACGCTCTCTTTTGAAAGAGGCTTTCGAAAGAGGCTTGCAGTTTAGACATAGCCCTGGTAACCCTAAAATAATGTCTTTGTTTCAATATGTTAAATGTGTAATTATCTGGAATGATTACTTTATGAAGTCTTAGGAGTATATTTAAAACATAAAATCAGTTTAGAAATACTGATTAAGAAAATGTAAAAGAGAAGAGTTGCATCATGTATTTTATAATATTTCATGTTGTATTCAGCAAGGCAGCTGACTTGCTCTTATTTACGAAGTTTTGCAAATAAATCTGACAGACTTCAGGGTATATTAAAAAAAAAAAGGAGACGACAGTGTACAAGGGTCTTGACAGAGTGGGGGCAGTGCCTCGGCAGAGCATAGGCAGGACCACAGCCAAGGGATTTTGCCTCCCCAAGCTGTAGTGTCATCCACCGCCCACGGGTAAGTGTGTGCTATGGGGCGTGGATAAAATTCAGTGAAGAAGGAGCTATGTATCTTGTGAGCTATGCATGTAAGCTACTGATACTTATCACTCTCCATCACTCCTTATAGCTACCTCAAAATTATTGGCATGCACTAAACGGTGCCGCTTTCCTGGGATGGTTTTAAGTGTAGTTGAATTTGCTAAGAATGCAACAATTGCTGTACAAGTCACAGGTATTAGCCTTGTTGTTTAGAGACACTTCTTGGAAGCTGAAGCTGCAAATGAGGAGGGAAAAGGGCTTATATGATAGAGATTGTAGGTTTTTTTTGGGCATATGTACTGTTACAAAACAGCTGGAAGGGGCGGTGCACTCATTGGAACCATTACCACAAACAACTCTAGTGGAATCTATGTAACACTGATGAAAAGAAGTCGATCCTGATATCTGCAGACTTTAAATGTGATTTTTTTTTTAAATTTGGTGCCTGCCTACATACTACAGTGATGGCTATATTAGAAATAAATTTGTTAAATAGGCAGCATGCCCCCTTTCAAGGTTGCCAGCAGATTACTGATTTTTTGTGTATGCTGTCTGTCACTGTCTTGTGTAACAGTTTATGCTTGTGTAATACAATGAGAACACTGTTATGTTATCTGGGGCTATGTGCTTAAGTATCTATAGACAAGGGGAAATGGAAAAAGCTAAACTATGTATATAAATAATAAAAATAAGTAAGAAATAATAAGTAAAAGCAATTGCTCTTTTTACTTGTTATGGCCTGTCTATCTTAGTCTTTCCCATTGCAAGGCAAATAGTCTTTCAGTGCCTGAAGGAAAACATTATGACCCTTTGACCACAAACGAGTCAGTTCCACTGAGCCCTGTTGAAAGCTGTCTTATTTACTTTCTAAAACAAACTCACTGCAGCAGATTTACTTTGCCCCTGTCTTCTTTTCTGTTATTTTGTGGTTTAATCATTAAACAACATAAACTCTCAGGTGTGTATGAACTGATAGGGTGGTACCAGAGATTTAAAAAGGGTTTAAATAAATTAATCACTTTCCTCTATGCCCTCATGTCCATGGCCTGGAGAATTGCTGACTACTTTGACCGTTTCATTGAACAGCAGAGAAATGGTTGGTGGTGTAATGTAATACTACCAGAACAACAGAAACTACCAGACATCATGCTTTTGAAGAGATTAACACTTAAGAGAAATAGAAGGAAAGAGGGAGAGCTAATGATCTTGTTTTTCTCCCAGGCCTCTCTCAAGTGATTTATTTTTGTGCACAGGAAGCTAGATATTATCTTCTGATTTTCATCCTTTGAGGGAATGAGTCATATGTTACAAATAGAATCCCTTTATAATGAAACATTATTTTCTTCCCGCAAAAACATCCCTATTGGTCAAATCCAGGCCTGATAATCTGGAGTATGGACCACTGAAGTCAGTGGTATCCAGTTCTAAAAGCATGCCTCTTCACTAACTTCATAGAATTTGAGTGCTCTTAGGCTGTCTCAGTTTGTTCTATGATTCAGCTGATTCAGAATTGCAATGGGCACTTCATGTGTTGAAGTAATTTGAAACTCTGATTTCACTACGACTGTAGTTTCTCTCCGAGCTCATAGTAAGACACTGCATTAGTAATAACTATGGTTTATTGTTGTGTTTTAGTTCAGTCAGCAAAATGTATAACTTTGAAAAAACCCTCCACAGATACTATCAGATTGATGTGAATATTTCCATTAGAATGCAGAACATAAAAGGAGTCACATGGATGCTCGGTAGTACCAGCTTGATGCTTTATGTCAGGGGTGGGGAACCTTTTTTGGGTTGAGGGCTGCTGACCCACAGAAAAATCAGTCTGGAGGCTGCACACACGTGAGAAGCCCCTGATTGAGAAGGAGAAATACATTCCCCTTGCACACCAGGCTAGTAGATTGTGTGCTCCAGCCCTGTGGGTATGTGGCAGGGGGGCTGGAGTGCTAGCACAGGTTCGCCAATGTGGAGCCTCAAGGGCCAGATCCAGGCAAGTTGGGGGCCGCATCTGGCCCCTGGACCTGAAGTTCCCCACCCCTGTCTAATGTGAATCTTGACTGTCTTATATGCATGGCCCCACAACAATAAAAGCCAAATAATGTCCTTCCCACTCATTCCCCTTGCTGTATGCGGGGCAAGGTGGGCTTGGAGATTGTGCAGGGAAAGGAAGGACTCCTTTCCCAACAAAGCAACTTCAGATAGTCTCTCGCACCCATATGCCCCCAGGAAACAATGTCGAGTATATCTGCCACAGGGTGGATACATTGGCCTCTCTGTTCCTTCTTCTCATTTCCCTCCCTTCCTACTCATGTCTTGCTGTACATGGATATGCAGGGAACCTTCACTAAGCTGGGCTCCATGTTGTGCATAGCACGTGGACCCTCTGAGCAGGTTCCCTAAATCCTGCTTGCCCCCTTGTCACTCCCTGTTGCAGAATGGTGCTCTTGAAGCAGCAAGTTTTGCCCTGAGTGATTTATGTATGTGACTATTTTTCTTAGGGTAAGAATAGTTCTTTGATTAGAAGTTAAAAGTTGGGGTTCTAATACTCTCCCTTCTGTTAATTTTGCTTGCTTTGATGAGGCAGGTGTCAGCACCACAGTGATGACTATTTCAATCACCCTCAGCTGCAAACGAAGCAGGCACTGTAAATTAACAATCCTACTAACAACTGAATAGGATTTTAGTCTGAAATGCTCAGCACAGAGTGGTAAAAGTCAGTGATGAGATCTGTGAGCACAGGTGACTTCAGGAACCTGAATGTGAACAAGAGACTTCTCAGCTATCCCAGGACTCTGGGTAACAAAGAAAGGCTGTAAAAGGAGCCTCAGTAAACAAGCCAGCTGTGTTTGGTCCCTTTATATAAAAATCTTGGCACAATGACAGGATATGCCTGCAAGTGTGCTGTGAAATATTTGTATGTGCAGAGCAGAAATTGCTCTTTCTCTGTGTAGATTCCAAAAGTCTATCAATTACTTTCCAACCCCCTACAAAAATCAGGCTTACCTGAAAGGAACCATTATAGAATCCATCTGCTCTTGAAAGAGCACTGCTATTTTCTTTCAGCTCCATCTGTGTAGCTTGGACAGGGGATTTCTATATGCCTGTTCAAAGCTGTCTAGAGCATAGGACGGCAGGCTGGCAGCAGCAGCAGCGTATAGTTAATCCATTTAGTATTCTGTTTCTATTACTCAAAGTTTACCTGGCTGTGACCACTCCCATGTTGCTCTTATATTATTCATAGCTCCACCTTCTAGCTCTTTTGAAACATCCCAGTGCACGTAAAGGCAGGGTAAGAAGCAGAATTCCAAGCCTATTAACATGACAGAAGGATTGATACACACAACAAAAGAGAAACCTTCCTGAGTGATCCAAAAGCAAAATATGTATTTTTACATAACCCTCGTTCACACTCACAAAGAAAGCATGTAGTGCACTGCTAGAAAATCCTCCTCATTCAGATCTTTAGGAGGCAGCACTCATTTAATCTTTTGTGATGTGCTCTTAAGCTGCCCATGAAAATATATGAAAGAAAGTATTTGCTGGTAAAACAAATGACTAATAAAAAGTCAAAATAGGCAGAGACCTAGAACAGGGGTTCCCAAACTTTTTGATACTGGGGACTAGTAAATCCATTCACGAGCTTTTGGAAGACCGGTAACATTTATTTGCTTATTCATTAAACAAATGATGAATATGCAAATAAATTGTTTCTGGTCCTCCCAAAGCCCCCAGTGCCACCTGTAGCCCACAGAAAAGTCAGTTGGGGCCACACAAGTGAAATACAAAAACAACCCCTCCAGACCCCTCAAACCTCACTAATGTGGCCCCAACTGTGCTTGTGGGTAAAGGGAGAGAGTTCTGGGGAAGGGTGCCAATGAAGTGCTGGGGCAAGGGACAGGGAGCTTGTGGGTTCTGGGGCAGGGTACTTGTGGGGGTCTGGGGAGGGGACAAGGACCGATACCTTGGGATCCTGTAGCTGCCAAGGCCCAAGAAGTGCACGGGCTGCTTCTCCATCCCCCAAACAGCAGCGTGGTACCTGACACACTGGTCCATTGCACGCCTGATGCCTTCCTGTGCAGGGGTAGGGGGAGTCCCAGACTGCGCCAGCTCCAACCGCTCGGGCAGCGCACACCTCGCTTCTCTGCTCCCCACGGCAGCGTGCGCCGCCCAAGCAGCTGGAGCCGGCGCACTGGGGACTTTATTCCTCTGCTGCCTTCCCTCGTGGGGGGAGGGGACAGGGGGAGTCCCAGACCGCACCTGCCCTAACGGCTCAGATAGCGTTCGCTTTGCTCCTCCACTTCCCATGTCAGCACGCGCCACCCAAGCAGCTGGAGCAGGCGCAGTCCCGGATTTCCACCCATTCCCTTGCGCGCAGGAAGGCAGCAGGGGTACAAAGTCCCCAGCGCGTGATGGACCAGCGTTTTAGGTACCGCACCGGCTGTTAGGGCAGAGGGGAGAGCAGCCCGCTCACTTCCAGGACCTGGTGCGCAGCTGCAGAACTGCCCCCCAACCCTGCAGGAAGGCCGCACTACCTCCATTGACACTGGGAGTTCAGCGCAGCATTCATCTTGGGGGTTGTGAGCAGCGAAGCGGGCTCTTGCAAACATTTTTCTGAGGCCCAGTATTTTTTTCCTAAGGACTGGTAATGGGCTGCGGACCGCAGTTTGGGAAATGCTAACCTAGAATATTCAAGCATTTTTTTTTTCAAAAGATCAGGCACTGAGATAACGTACAACATGTGTGCAATTTCATGTTTAAGTTGCATGCACTGTTAAGTGTCGTACTTGCAAATTGAATAGACAACTAACCACCAGAGTCTCTGCCTCCCAGAGTG